AAGTAAGGCTTTCAATTGAAATCAATTTACTTTCAATTGATTTTCCTTTTGAAATCTAAAAGGATAAGTAAGGCTTTCAATTGATATCAATTCACTTTCAATTGATTTTCCTTTTGAAATCTAAAAGGATAAGTAAGGCTTTCAATTGAAATCAATTTACTTTCAATTGATTTTCCTTTTGAAATCTAAAAGGATAAGTAAGGCTTTCAATTGAAATCAATACACTTTCAATTGATTGATCTTTTGAAATCTGAAGGATAAGTAAGGCTTTCAATTGAAATCAATTTACTTTCAATTGATTTTCCTTTTGAAATCTAAAAGGATAAGTAAGGCTTTCAATTGAAACCAATTTACTTTCAATTGATTTTCCTTTTGAAATCTAAAAGGATAAGTAAGGCTTTCAATTGAAATCAATTCACTTTCAATTGATTGACCTTTTGAAATCTGAAGGATAAGTAAGGCTTTCAATTGAAATCAATTTACTTTCAATTGATTTTCCTTTTGAAATCTAAAAGGATAAGTAAGGCTTTCAATTGAAATCAATTCACTTTCAATTGATTGACCTTTTGAAATCTGAAGGATAAGTAAGGCTTTCAATTGAAATCAATTTACTTTCAATTGATTTTCCTTTTGAAATCTAAAAGGATAAGTAAGGCTTTCAATTGAAATCAATTTACGTTCAATTGATTGACCTTTTGAAATCTAAAGGATAAGTAAGGCTTTCAATTGAAATCAATTTACTTTCAATTGATTTTCCTTTTTACATCTGAAGGATAAGTAAGGCTTTTCCTTTGGTTACATGTTCATAGTGCTATCTCTTTTCTGTGCCTTTTGATGCTAGGTGGTAAGTCCATTTACAGTGCCTTGCCCGCAAACTTTTTTCGAGTCTTGCAAGGGTTTGACCAATGTGGAAGATCCTTTTCGATTCTGCCTGATGTCTTCTGTTGCGGCAGATCGAATAGAATTTTAAGACATAGAATATGTCCTTCCGACATATAGAGACCTAAAATAGATCAGGCAAGATAGGCAAGTCAACTTTATGACATTTTATGTTTCTATTTTTAGAAATATGCAGGGTGTTTCCCAATTTGCAGCGCGTTTTTCGGCTCTGCATGCTGTGGCCGGGCCGAGGTGACGCATCCAGAGTGGGGCGAGAGACTGGCGGAGCCACCATTGGCAGGACCGACGGCGGCGACTTGCTCCCATTTGGGAATAGTTTATACCACCTATAAAAATGGTGATTTGGGGGATGGTTTATATTTGTTTTACCCACATTAGACACTTTTGATCCAAGGAGCAAAAAGGCCAATAAGGGAGCCAGTGTGAACCTGAGATGCCCTGCAGCAGCCAATTGTCCATTGATTTCTCCAGCCGAGAGTCAGTCTCGCCAACAGCTCGCCCGCAATGAGTGGACGGCGTCCAGAAGAGCAATCAGTCCGACGCGAAAGATATCAGAGATATTCATCTCATTTCTATTGATTTCAGATATTGTCACTAAATTATCACAAGATAGTATGACACTGTATGAGAATGCATGATATAAGAACGGCATATGGCAGACTGTTGGGTAAGAAAAAATAAGATCACTTATCATTCTTTGTCATCCAGTTCCGATGTGAGCATCATTCTCGCTAGCCGCCTGTCCTGCGGTTTCCTCAGCGCAACTTCATAAGCGTGCAGACATGCCAAGTATGTGGCACACAAAGAATAATGCATCGTGATCATTCATGTTTTTAGGACTGACCTATTAGCCTATCATGGTTTGACAAGAAGTTTTGGGACAAAGATTTGCGTTGCTCAGAGGCCCTTGTCTCAGCCTCACCTCATTAGACGGCGGACCATCTCGCATTCTTTTTGGGCGCGTGCCCGGAAATTTTATTTAGGTTCACCCAAGTCTTTGAGAACCCATCCATAGGCTTATGCTGCGGCCAAGCTGGGCATAAGATCAGAGCAGTAGGGTCAAAAAGATGGAGTTTGCGATTTGTTGATTTGTGAATATCAGAGGTCAGAGATCATCAAGTGCTGCCTTGATTCAGAAAAGCTCCAAAGTGGACGGAATTGTGGGGAATCCCAAAACTCAAATCAATGCCTTTGTGCCTTCTTGTGGAGGCTGCTCGCTGGCTTAGCGGTGCGGCACAGAAGGCACCCTTGAACCATCTCGGAGAGAGCAACACGTGTTGAAATTAGTCACTACTTAGTTTTGTCCAATATAGCAGAATCATGCAGAATCATTTCAGTACTTTGCCCAGAGAGAGAGAGATTGAGAGCACTATGAATGTGCATGGCAGTAGAGAAAAGCATTCCAGGAAAATTGAAGGTGAAAGCACTCCTTTTGCACTTCTGTGGGAGCTTCACCCCAGCTGTGGCGGGCAGAAGCTAAAATAACTCAAAATAACTATATATATATATATATTATATTATATGTATATATATATATATATATGTAACGGAAGTTGGTATTATCTCGCAGAATTTTCAAGCGCTATTCATGACATCGTGGAATATGCAACCAGATTCCAGGATGGCCCACCAGGCCCTTGATGGCCAGTAATGATAGTTTGATTTTGTTTCTGTTTGCGTCTGCTTGATATCTGTGAACATGTTTCCCTTATATATATATATGCACAGTATATACAGTATATACATACGGACAGACACAGAGACACACACACACACAAACACACACCGACAGATATATATATATATAGATAGATATAGATATACAATATATATACACGTATATATATATATAAATAATTAAATATATAATAATAATATATATATATATGTATATGCAGAACAGTAGTTGCATGTCTTATATACTGTATATGCTGTGTATTCTCATATGCTGGCAATTCTGTGGAGGCCGGGACTTCCTTGGCGCGACTCAGCAAAGGCTTGAGTGCTGATGGTCTCAAGGCTGATTTGGAGAGCCGAGCGTTGGGAAACCCAGCCGGATGCGACCAAGAGATAGCAGACATTTTTCAGACGATCTGCTTGGAGATTTACTGTAGTTTTTCTATCCACGCACCTATGCTGTGCCATGCTGTGCCATGCTGTGCCATATTAATCGATATTATGCTAAGGCAGGCTATGATGCACACATGTGCCGCTGATTAAGTGCACGAAAGGGTGGGAAATGAGGGGCTTCAGGTGTCCAAATCAGATTTGAAGACGATTGTGAAGAATCCCCGCCCGTATTTTGTCATCAGCACAGAATTCTGAGTGATGTTGCTTCTCCACCTATTACACACGCACACACACACATATATATATATAATCATAATATATATGTATGTATATATATATATATTGCATCATATGGATACAGCTTATACTATAGTGATTGGTGGTTAGTCATCCCTGCCACAAACATCCTTTCACTGCCGCTGAAGGTCAAGCACACCAGAGTCTCTAGAGGTGGCGCTCACCGAAACTCGACCACTAAATGCTTTCTTTGTGCTGAATCATACTATTCTTCTGCAGTCTTCAAAAAATCATTTTATTCATCTTCGTGGAGCTGCTTATCTTCATGCAGAATATGCCACCTTCAAACTGCGGGACAGCCATGCAGATAGATCAGATAGAGAGAGAAAGGGAGTGCGGCATGGCAGTGACATATTGCCCGTGCTGCAGACTGATATGAACGGATGCCAAGTTGTGTTTGGACGTGGTTGAGGAATGGAGCAAACTGCTGGCCGCCACTGATGATACTCCGCGCTACGAGCCTCGGACTCCCCATGGGCCCCATGGACATGAATGACCACCTGGACCATCTCCGCCACTGTTCACACCGACTTCAGAGTGCACAGGCACAGGCAGCACAGGCAGCACAGGCATGCAGGTCAATAGAGTACTGTACTGTGCATCATGCTCATCATGGCTCAGGAAAATCCGAATGGCGCTCCGATGACCTACCGTGCAGCCTTTCTTGCCAGCAAAGCTGCCTGGATTGGATATTTCAACCCGTGTTTGTGGCCTTGACTTGGGCACAGTACAGTACGCCAGAAAAACCAGGAATGTTTAGTGGAGTTGAGAAGCTGGGCAGCTATTATAATTGCTCCATGTAAACCTTTGGTCCTTTCTCAGTAGCTTTGAGTTCAGGCTTATGAGCAGTGTTTGCAAACAGCCGCGACAGGACGTGATCTGAGAGGTACTGTAGTAGCCAACTCGTGACTTTTTCACACGAACCCCCTTCCCCCCGTCTCTTACTCCACCTTTCTTACTCCACCTCTCTTACTCCACCCCACCCATCTTCCCGTTCGCATCTCGCTTAGGACTACTGGCTCCCATCTTCCCCTGCTTAGCTTCCGTTCGCCAGCCCTTTGGACTCAAATTGTTTTGAGTCCAGCAATCATTTGACTGGTTTCTTTGTTCGGAAATTGATGCTATGGCGTACCTTGCGCAGGATTGGCAACTGGCCGAAGCTGCGCAACAAAGCCCAGCTTGGAGCAATGCAAGGTGTGGCAAGCGTTTGCGCAGGCACTGGGAGAGTTGTTGCTGCATCGACTATGGGTTGTTGCCAAATAGTTCTTGCTGAGAGCAAACAGATTCTGGCTTCAAGGCTGTTTCTAGCATATTTGGTGAGTTTTATGTCATGTGTTCCAGTCATGGTTTTCTGGTGGTGCCTAGAGTCATACTTTTGGCATGTAGGGAGATGTAGGGAGATGTAGGAAGATGTAGGCAGAGGATGGCAGAGGTATATAGGATGTTTTTGACATTTCTGCATCAACAAGATGCGAGGTAGAGGCATGGGTGAAAGAGGTAGGACCAGGTAGGGGACAGCCTCGCAGCGCATACTTTCAAATGCTCACTGTATGACTGTCGTATATGTCAGACCAAACCGGTGCCAAGCTCTGACTGAAAGTATCGCGCCACATGACCCTGTCCGGATTATAAGCCTGCATGTTTTGAGTCGGCAGGTTTGACTTTTGACATGTTTGACTTTTAAGCCTCAAGCTGAAACCCTCCGGCTTGTTGCATCCATTTAAAATCACCCGATGCGGATACCATGCCGAGCCACAATAGGTGCAGTGATTGTGGCCGTATCAGCCGTAGCGAGTTTCGATGATGAATGTGACAGAAGTGGCGGCAACCTCTTACAGTCTTTTGCCCAGGCTCGCAGAGCAGAAAAGTATGCTTGGCAATCCGGTCGAGGGAATTTCCCCAACTTTGCCGTCGCAGAAGCCAATGGCCCTTTCAATCTAAGTGAGACTCTGAGTTGGTCTTGGCATCATCCTAAAGGACGTTTTCATACGTTGACATGGGGGACTGTTCTTGATCATCAGCTGAATGTCTACCTCTCCGCAGCGGATGGTTTGCGCAAGTTTGACGTAGATGGACAGTTGCTTTGGGAGCACCACACCCTGCCAGCCATCCTTATGAACGCACCTGCCATTTATCAAGGATCCATTTTTGCCAGTGACACACTCGGTGGTGTGCGTGCATTGAGCATGAGCACAGGCAAACTGCTATGGCATTCCAATTTGTCGATGCCCATCGGAGAAGACAATGGTTTTACCATGGTGCATGAGGGAGTTGTTTTCACAGCAGCTGGTTGGCGCGATCCTTCTCCGATGGGGCCCGCAAACCACATGGTGAAAGCCCTCAATGCGAGTGATGGGCAGATTCTGTGGACCTACGAGCCTGATGCTCCAGTCTGGAACTTTTTGCCATTGTTTCCGGATCGCGAATCTTGGACTGAATTTGAGCAATTGCAACCTATTAGCCAATTTACAGCTTCCCAGGTTTCAGGTTTTCAAGCACATTAGCTATCCTTCGCCCCAGGACACCTTCGTCTTTCAAGACATGACTGGCAGAGTTTATCGTCTGAGTTTGCAAGGCAAACTTCTTTGGAAAGCCGGTGGCAAGCCAGGTACATGGACAGATGGAGGAGCTGCACTGGGCAATGGCATGGTGCCTTCCATTCGAACGGCTACATTTTAACTTTTTGACGGGGTAATCGGTGGCGTAGTGGACATTTTATTTAAAACAATATAACATCTATTGACATATGTATATATATATATGCATATGTATAGTCTACATTCTAATATAGACATGTGGTGGCACGGGATGGCATTAGAATATCCTACTGGCATTCTGCTTGCAATATCTTCTAATTATGCTTGCACATGAGTTCAGTTCTAGCACGCATAGGTTGCTCCAAATGAGTTTGGTGGCTACAACGGGGTACAGTGCCATGTTAAGGGGCGCACCCTCACATTCTTACTGCGTTCTGTGCGATGAATTTCTTCGTTTTGTCTATAGCCCGATATGCAACCTCCAGAAAGCATGAATACCTGCCGATAGCCTAGGGAAATTATATTATAACTCATTCCAAAAGCATACAAAGCATCGGGAAGATATGGAAGAAATGCGGGGCAAAATGGTTTTGTTTACGAGTTGCTGCTCTGACTGCCTCCCAGTTCCAAGTTTTGGTGGGAGCTGGGGCTGCACTATATGAGATTATATAAGAGGGCCCTAGTTGTAGCATGCTGCATGCTTTCCTTTGGCAGACCAAGGTCTACGCGGTGAACAACAACAACCCTCCAAAACAGTTGATGTTCCATTCCGAACACAGCCCTGGAACACTGAGCGCCTACGATCTCAATGGTTATAAATTCACACACACACAATATTATATATATATATCGATTGGGCATAGGATACGTCGGATACGCTGGAGTTTGAACGGCTGGCGGCAGAACGGGCAATGAATGCTTGCTGCCCGATTGAATCAGCTTTTCCCATTTTAAATATTTTAATTAATACCTGCCGATAGCCTAGGGAAATTATATTATAACTCATTCCAAAAGCATACAAAGCATCGGGAAGATATGGAAGAAATGCGGGGCAAAATGGTTTTGTTTACGAGTTGCTGCTCTGACTGCCTCCCAGTTCCAAGTTTTGGTGGGAGCTGGGGCTGCACTATATGAGATTATATAAGAGGGCCCTAGTTGTAGCATGCTGCATGCTTTCCTTTGGCAGACCAAGGTCTACGCGGTGAACAACAACAACCCTCCAAAACAGTTGATGTTCCATTCCGAACACAGCCCTGGAACACTGAGCGCCTACGATCTCAATGGTACATTGAAATGGAAAATAACCACACCGCGGCCACCGAACAATGCCCCTGCCATTGGCAAAGTCCAAGGCTGGAGCGGCTTGTCCGTGATCTTGCCAATTTGCAAACAAGTCATGCAAGGAGCAACTTGTGAGGTCCAGGCTTACGATGCCAACACTGGTGGCCTTCGTTGGGTGTTCCATGGGCCTAAACAGACAGGACCTCTCCAAGCAGGAGATTTTGAAGGAATGGTAGATAGAACCACCAGCGGCGTGCGCCCTGCTTGTCTTCCAAATGGTTGGAGTGCTCCAAGCATCAGTTCTGATGGAACCGTTTTTGTGGGCAATGAGAATGGGCCCATGTTTGCTTTGAGGGATGCGGATGGAGATGGTCGAGTTGTTGGCAATGACGAAGTTTCCTCCTTTGATGCCAAAGCCGCTTTTTCCGGTTCTGCTAGTCCGGCCATAGGGAACAACCTCCTAGCAGTTGCATCTTGCGACACCCTCTTTGTATTCAAAGGCTGAGATTTATGCCAGAAGCGGGACGAACAAACAGAGAGAGAGAGAGAGACAGTAATGACAAAATGCAGCGTCTTAGCGTCATTCCTGGGTTCTGGTTTTTGTTGTGTGACTTGGCGCAAGTCTCATGAAGAGTGCTACTTGATAGTACATGATTCCATGATCATAATTCTGCTCGAGGCATCCACACTGCCTGGCTGTGAGGGGCTTTTGTTGCGGCTGCCGCAGCTGCTTGCGGACGCGAGGTGCTCCTGGTCGCATTTCAGACAAGGAAAGAGTCGTCCAACTTCGTGTCATTTGTTTCACAGATTTTCAGTCTTGAGAACCTTTTGTTCAGACTGCATACTGTATAATAGTGCGTCAACTAATTTCAGAATGAATTCCCATCAGGCTGTGGAAGTAATGTTGTCTGACCAATAGTGATACCTTGTCAATAGTAGAAACATTTTTCGGCAACTCCAGTTTTTTCTCCAATACTAAAAGTTTTTTAAAAGTCAATTAGTTCCATTTACTTTTAGTATTGCCAAAAGAGTCATGATCAGACCTTGTCCAGAGGGCATGGCCAATAGTGGACCCAACATGGCAATAGTGGAAACTTTTTTCCCAACTCCAATTTTTTCTCCAGTACTAAAAGTCAATTAGCTCCATTTACTTTTAGTATTGCCAAAAGAGTCAAGTAAAGCAAATCCTTTTCAAAGCAGCCTTCACTTTTGATTAGCAAAAGCTTAGATTCCAGAAATCTGATCCAATTACCAAACAGCTGATTTCCTTATAAAACCCTTATTAAAAAAAGCAAGAAAACAAGTCCACAAAGGGTACCCCCTTTGCAAGCCCCAGAATAGCAATAACAAACCTGCACCAGGCATGGCAATAGTGGAAACTTTTTTCCGCAACTCCAATTTTGTTGTCCTCCTTCTCCTTCTTCTTCTCCTTCTTCTCCTCCTCCTCCTCGTCCTCCTCCTTCGCCTCCACCACCTCTGCCCCCACTTCCATGTCCACTTCCGCCTTGCCAACTCTTCGCCAATCTCTTCACCAACTTCTGCGCGCAGTGGGCACTGCTGGACATGGAGAATCTATCAGATACATATCATCACGAAAGCCAGCCGCTAGGCTAGGCGAAGTTCTTTTTGCGAACAAAGTGAGTTAAGGGGGTCTGGGGGCAGAGCGCCCCCAACTGGCCAAAAATCGGGAAATTAGGTGGTAAAAAAGGTGGCCACAGGTAAAGTTTTTTAGGCTTATGTACCAGGTGGCAATTGGGTGACGGTGGGGTATCGATTCCCCCCTGGTCCGCCCTCCGAGGTGGACTTGGGGAGATTGCAATGGAGGGGAAAATGATGAGAAAAA